AAATATTAAATTTAATATTAAATTTTAAATGTTCTTTATAAAACAATATGATATTAAAGTTTATCAAAAGTAAAATGATTTCTTCAACTATATTTATGATGGATTTCAGCTTCCATATTCACATAGATTTTACATATTATTGTATAATTCAGTGTGATTCATGATTTTATTTAAAAATTGCTCTAGCTAGGGGTGGTGGTGCATACTTGTAATCCCAACAGCACACAGGATGTAGAAGCAGGCAGATCTCTGAAAGATCAAGGGCAGCCTTTACTATATAACAAGTTCCATGCCAGCTAAAGGGTGACCCTGTCTAAAAATACTAATAAAAATGTAAAAGTATAAGTAAATCTAAACTATTAGAGGAAAAGTACTTAGGAAATGCTTCAGGAAAATATTTTTATGGAGGTCACAATTGATAGAATCAGAAAATACTTTTTTTCCCAAATCACCAAAAAATCACTAAACTATGATTTATAATTTGACTATGACACATAACACCTTCTTACATAAATATAAGATTAAGAACTCTTGCTTGCTCTGTTTGCAAAACTGACACTCCCAGTCCCAAAGAAATTTACTCTGAAATGGCAGGATGTCAGCCAGTGTTTTATATTCTAATTTTATCCCAGTCTGTTTCCTAACCCAGTGACTTTAGAATGAAACACACACAAGATTAAACCACCCGGATGCACATGTGCAAACAATGAGAGGAATTTTAGAACTCTGTAAATTACCCTACGAAACACATAAAACACATATGAGAGTGTTGTTTATTGACCCATTTGGTGAAAATTCCTTCCCTTCTCTGATTTCAGTAACTAGATAAACTAATTTAAAAAGAACAAACCTGGTATGCAGATATACACATGTACACACAAAAATCCATATCTGAAATTGTGGAATTTTTGCCATAAAAATTGACAAAGTAGATGATCTTAAAAGTGTGAATAGTTTTGATATAAATACACATATTTTAATTCATGTATAGTTTTCATATTATGCAGGTTGGGTAGAACATGTACAGTTGAATAAACAAGTTTAAACTATATTTTAACAATATTGTTTGCAGGGGAAAATTTTTAATCAAGAAACAATAATTCCTTGAGCTTTCTATCACTCTATTTTAATGAAGTTTAACTTTACACAACATATATCGTATGTAATTCATTACCTTCCTAGTTTTATTGACTTTTGAATGAATGTCAGCATGATATGAAAAGTATAATTTAGTTTAAAATTCTCATTTTATATATTGCTTTTATTTCATCTAATTACTAGACTTATTTGATTGATTTTTAAATTGGATTGATTAAATGTTGTGTGTCCTAGTGGATAAATAAGAGAAACAAACAAAACAGATATTTACTCTTTATATCTTAGGAAGTATTTATAATTTATCTTTCTAGACTGTAACATAGATAACATACACTTTCTGTATGTCACATCTGAAAATACATATTTGCACCTACTTTATGACACACATGGTCCATATCACCCCCGCCCCCCCCCCCACCTGAGTAGCTTCCCTCTAATCCTCAAAGGTACAGCCTTGATTTACTTACAGGATTAGTTGCCACTAAAGCCTGGTTGTTGGCCACTGCTGTGAGGTGAATGATTGTCACAACGGAGTTACAAATGAAAGAAAAGAACAGGTTTTTGTGCAGGGTAATCCTTTGGCAACTTAGACTTCTACAAGAGAAACAAAGTGTGTTGACAGCACAGAACATTTTCACATTTTTTTGTTCAGTGTAATTCAAGTAAGGTACATTCTCAATTCATAGATGCCACACTCATTTTGGAAGAGTTATTTTGTTTATCCATAATTTTCCCTATTGATAAAATTGAGGGGAAACGTATAGCGGCTTAAAACCCAGATGTGAATGAGTTACTGTAGTGGAGGTATGCATGGGGATGGGAAATCTGCCTATATAAGATTTCTACAATAATTTTTTTCTGTTAAATTCTGAACATTATTAATATTTTAGTTCATTCTGAAAAAAGTGAAATTGGGATTCAGTGAAGTTTAATAATAAAAAAATTAATTTGAACATTTTGGATTTCATCTGTGAGATTCTCACATGAATATTATGCTTTTAATTGTATCACATCATCTGTTTTGATTCAATAGTCTGTGCATTCTTGATGTAGTGATACTTATACTGAACAGTCATGAAAAAGATGCCATTGTATTTAGAATAGATGTATTGATTTAAAAAAATAGGCTCAGAAAAGATTGAGGTCCAGACAACCATAAGACAAAAAAAAAAAAAAAATAGTTTGACATTTTACCTTTTACCTTCTGTGTGAAGCATAGAAGAACTAGCTTTCTATTTTTACATAAAAGTAGATTGGGGAAAAGGTGTCATTTAGGGATGCAGCTTTTCCAGTTTAACCCGCAAACACTTTCAGATGACAACTTTACCCACATTCAAGGGAAAATGCCAGCACTATTTCCTTCATGAAACATTCAATTGCAGTTTTACGTTGGAATATAATTAAGAGTAACAGAATGAAACCTATAGGAAGTTAAACACTTCATGGCAAAGGCAAACACATGTGTAGGAATATATGAAGAATCATTTTGTTGCAGAGAAATAGAATCTCACATGTATTTTACTGACAATTCTCCCTACATACCACAAAGATTTCTACTTTGAAAAGTATAAGATTTCACATTATTTTATCATTTCCCTTTACCGTAAAGACAGACTGTGTCCATGATATTATATATCCCAAGGTTTCCATGTTTAAAAATACAAAAATCAGACTATTTTACTTTTTAAAGGCCTGTAGTTATGTAACTTTATATATAGCACTAGTATTTTAAAGAATGAAGAAATCAATATAACCCACACTAATGCTCATGAATTGATGCTGAATTCTATCAGTGGAGATTTTTAAAAAAGACTTCATGGGCAAAATACTTCTTAAAATAAGTATGTGTGATTGAGACAGTCATTTAACAGCAGGTACACAGACCTAGGTGCATTCCATCAAAGCGGAAAGAACTGAGACTCCTACTTTTTATTAGAGTCAGTGATTTTGACTTGGCTTCTGGGAGAATAGAAGTAATAAGAGGAAGGCAGAGATCAAGTTTCATTTACTGAGTACTCATGATGTTCTGTAGAAAAGAAGAAACTCTGAGAATTTTTGAAGAGTAGCATGAGTCTTATCATCATTGAAAGAAAGTCAACATGGAAAAGTAGGCCTATTTAAAAAAAATTCCATAGCAGTGACATGATTCTGTCATTGAAAATTGGAGTAATTCAACTATAGATGAAAAGGCCTAGTTAAGAATATTCTTTTCCAGTCTTTTATATTACATGTAATACATCACTCTGCTATGATCACTCTGCTATGGTGAAAGTTATGGAAACACTGATTTTGCCACATGGGCTTATTTCAAACTGCCTGATAAGCACTTTCGTGACATCTACAGAATGCCAACCATTGTTTAGGAGGAACTGCTCAACTAGGCAAATGTGTACTTTTTTTAATTAACAAAATAAAGAAATGGTATCATCGGGGGAAAATATTTTCCTTTGTGGGATTATTTTGACTTTTTCTGATGAACACTTTTCTCTCCAGGAATTGAGTAAGACATACAGGCAAACAACATAATTTTCAAATTATGACTAAAAGACTAGTAAACTTTGCTTGAAACACAAATTTTTAAAAAATTATTTAATAACCACATGATTAGAAGAAGCATTTCATTACAGCTTTAACATATTCAATAACAATTTCCTGACAAAGATGCATCTCTTTCAAAAGTGGCTGCAAACTTTTAGGTTGACAGTTGAATTAATACAGTCATACAATATTGAACTCAGTTATCAACCCTATAAAACATGAAACTGAATGAGGTTTTAACCTTAAAAAAGATCTCCATTTCATTTTTAAATATACTGTTCCCTACAGAAAGACTCGTTTTTAATGCTACTAACAGTTGGATATTTGCACATGCATCTCTAATATTTATATATCTGATTATTAATAGTCACATTTGGTTACACTCGGATCCTTGGCAACTGAATATGGATATAAAGTCATCAGCTAGATTTCAATGGTAATGTTTATCACCTCTACTAATTAACATGAAGTAAAAGCACAAATATTGAAATCATGAAATGTAAACATAAAAGAGGACTTTTAAAAATAACATTTGCCCCTAGGCTAGTCTAAGTTATAGATAGATTCAAGAACAGAATTAGTAACTTAGTGAAGCTTTGTCTCAAAATAAAATTTTTTAAATGTGCTGGGGATACAGTTCAGTGGCGTGGTGCCTGCCTAGCATGCAGAAAGGCACAGAATCAATCTCCAGCACTGCTAATTATTTAGCTACTTAAAATAAAAGCTTAAGAACTGTGATATTTGCATGCTACAGTAGTTCAGTAAGAGTAGATAGGCACTGAGAAATATAATAGAAACAACATTTATAATGATAATAACAGAAAATTGTAAGACTATATTAAACTTCACCCACCCAAGACTCAGGGACCATCGTGGAACAGGGGGCAGATAAACTATAAGAGGCAGGGAGGAGGAGCAGACCATATGGAAACAGAGTCCTACAAACTCCTGGGACCCTGCTCATATGAACCTACAGCAATGGTTTCAGCATGCACAGGACCCATGCAAACTCAGGAAGATAAAATCTGGCATAGAACTGGGAAAATGAATGACAGACCCCAATCTTATCAGAAGAAATATTGGCAACTCATTGCTGCTAGGTGAAGAAAAGCTTATTTTTCTAAAACAAGGGACTCTAGATAGGCTGACTAGACCTCAGTGAATGGACTTGCACAGGGGACCATTTCGGGACACTGATTTGATTCAGTGGGCCTTAACAGGGATGACAGAGAATACAGGCTCCAGTGGGGTTGGGGGACTATGGGAGGGTGCCGGTGGAGATGTGGGTATAAAGGTGATTGAGATTGTTTGAGATGTTCTGTATAAAATACACAAAAATTCAATAAAAACAAAAAAATTTTTATCTGTACTACACAAAAAGAGAATACATGAAATTCTCAAAAAATAAAATATGAAAACAAAAGATTGTGATTAATTGATATTAGTTATTTACATATGGAAATATTAGAAGGGACTAAAATAAAATGCTATGCATAGTTGCAAATTGGTAGAGTGCTTTGTGTACATGAAAACACCTTACTTTTTTATGATGATATGTATTTCTTTTTAAAATTTTTATTTATGTGTATGAGTGTCTAGTCTGCATTTAGGTAAGTACACTATTGTCATGCAATGTCCGTAGAGGCCAGAAGAGGGTGTCAGATCCCCTAGATCTGCAGTTAAAGATAGTTGTGAGCCACCATGTAGGTGCTGGGAACCAAACCCATGTCTTCTACAAGAGCAACCAGTGCTTTTAACCACTGAGTCATCTCTAGCGCCAATAATCTATATGTCTGTTTCCCTCTGAAATCCCTTTTTTTTTTTTTTTTTTTTTTGTGATCTGACTCCTTCCCCAATCTGTCTTGAATGGTCAAAACCTAAAATGATCAAAACCTCTAATGATGTGATTATTATAAGTATGGACTAAAAATGGCTTTGTAGTCTCTTACTATATGATAAACATCTGCTACATTTTTTTCCTTGTTGTATCCAAACAATGTCATTCTGGACAAACATTAAATTCACTTACAATTTAAAGTTTAACATTAAAATCAAACATGTAGGAAGCAATAATTTTATTATGGAGATAAAAAATGAATATATTATAAAATTTTATGAATACTATGGTGTCTGTAGATATCAGCCTCCATAATTCAAACCAAAGATCTTTGTTTTAATATCCCTGATTTCCAGCTGAGTTATCCAAACTGTTGCAATAAACTGGATCACTGTCAAATCATTTCACTTTGTGTTGTGAAAATATATCTTGCTGTCTAAAACATTGGCCTATAAGCTTTAGTGTCTTCCATTTCTGCCTCTAGGCACTGTGTAAATTAAACAAATACATACAGATAATATCTGATGTATGGTTTCAATCAACAATGTCTCCCAGCAAAAAGGTCTTGGAGTCATCTAGTGATGCATACCGTGCCCTTCTAAACATATTAACACATACAAGTAGATTTTTATAGATAAAATCAACTTGTAAATGAAAATCAAAATGTAGTTAGTAAACCAATGGCTTACTTTAAGGGACATGTTAAAATTCTGAGTGACTGAACCCTAGGCTTTGCATATCCTAGACAAATCCTCTACCACTGAGCTAAACATACATAAGGATATTTTTTTGAATGTTAACCTATGTCCAATTTTACTTACTCCAAATTCTCATTTTAAGCACATACTAAAAGCAGTTAATTATAAACTTTGAAAATATTTTACTAAAAATTTGTCTCTTAGGGCTGGAGAGATGGCTCAACAGATAAAAGCACTGGTTGCTCTTGCAGAGGACCTGTGTTTGGTTCTTAGCACTCACATGTCAGCAGAAAATTGCATTTCAAGTTTCAGAGATCCGGCACCCTTTTCTGACCCCCAGAGCTTTGTACAAATGGGTGCACTTTCATAGATACATGCATATGCACAAAATAAAAATAAGAAGAAAAGCTCTCTTTCCTTAAATTGTAGAACACCCTTTTCTATTCTAGCGTAACCACAAATAGAAAATGTGATTTATGAGCCTGGATTGTTTCAAACTCATATTCTCTTCAGATAATTAT